CCAACTCTCTTCCCCTGCCTCGAACCTCACGCCAAGAAATGTGTCCTTTGCACTGCCATCTCCCCGCCCCCTGTACCTTCCGCAGCCCACTCCCTTCCCAAGTCCTCCCCGCACCCCGCATATCCGCGGTAAAAACCAACAACACGTTCTCTCCCCCTTTCCGCCCATTAACTCCTTCCCTCTCCCTTACGTAGCCTAGGCGACCACCAAAGGACCTTACATGCCCCAGATAACCACTCAACCACTACTCAATCTACTCTCAATCCGCCCTACCAACTCTCCTCCCCTGCTCGAAATCCCTGCGCCTGTGACCCGCACACGTCGCTCCCCGTCCCCCCTCCCCCTTCCTACCCACCCAGCACCACCTCATCTGCGGTATCCAGCGTCCTTTGTCGCAGCGGAGTGAGGATACTCGAAAAAATCGTTCGCAAATCGTGTGTGACACTGGTCGAGTCGAACCAGTTTTTAGTAGTTACAGACAGAGGTGGCAGCTTTTGACATAAGCTACTATCGTGTGAAAAAGAATAACAGAAAGGAATAGAGGGACTCTGATTGACAAAATAAATCACCAATTGTGACTGTTGTTGAGGAAATGCTTGACTTTGCTGACTGCCTACCACAGAGTCTGAGGTGTGTTTGGAATTCTAACTTTTATTTGCTCAAACGAGTGCTACTTGTCATTCAGACAATGCCAAAAATGCGTAGAAAAATTCTGGTTACAACACTGGTAAAAATTCTAACTTGTTCAGAAAAAAGTACGCAAGATGAGCCATCATGCACTATGGAGAGGAATGGCTTATTCAGTACCAGAAGCCGAAAGCGCAATTCAAATGCTTCAGCAGTTTATTAATTCCCTTGTCTTCTTCTTAATTTGGGTCGAAGCCGAAAATGACGGAGCAGATTAGCAGTGCGAACACGTCTTTTGAACAAGATCAGCCATTTTTACTGTTTTTGCTTTTGCTATGCAAATGCAATAAGTGGGCAATGCACGGGCTGCCCGTGCGAAGATGCTTTTTTTGCATGGTTCCCCACAGTTTTTATTGCTACGGACATCGTTTTTTTCGGCAAATGCTTCTAGCTAAACAAATTAAGACTGGCCACCAGAACTGTCAGAAAACA